TTGACAAATTTTGGAAAAAATGGAACTTTGAAGCGCTATAACTTTTTTAAACGAGCTATTTGGCAAAAATGAGCAGCGGATTCGGAATCAGCGAAAAATTCTACACAAAATCGGCTGGGTCCCATAACGAAACGCCACCTCGACCTTGGGTGGTTCCCTTGTAAGCCAAGCCTAAGCCTAAGCCTAAGCCCGCAGTCAGCCTTGAAAGGGAAGACCGCGAATTTAAAATTATTGCCAATGGCCGGCGCTGCAGGCAAGGGGGAAAGTGGGATTGAGCCCTGAGGGGACAGCAGTGGGAGTGGGTGGCAAGGTCGAACAGGGGAGCACGAGGGAGAGGAGGAGGAGGTGGAGACGGGGAAGGAAACTCGACAAGGCAACCCGTTCCCGCCTAGGGGTTCTGTATGCGGATGAGGTGAGGGGGATGGAACACTTATTTTAACAGGGGGATGTAGAAAAATCACTCTCTCGCTCTTTCTCTCTCTCCCTCGCTTTCCCTCGCTTTCTCTAACTCGCTCTCTCCAGCTCTGTCTGTATCTCACTTCGTCTGTCTCTCTCTTCGCTCTCGCTCATGCCTTCCCAGTCCCTTTAATCCCTCCCCTCTGGGGACTACAGATCGCTTCGTGTCTCCGAGATCCCGTTGGCTCACACGGGTTCATCGGACTGTGACTACTCGGGTGTTCCAGTCATCCGTACTGTCGAGTACGGTTCGATCCTGTCGACACCTCCCCCCTCTTCCGGTCCTCGATAAGGGACAGAAATGCCGTAATATAACGCTGGAAACGGGTCGTGAGCTATGATTCCACAGTTTTGGAGCTGTAGCGTTAGCGGGGGGCTGGGGGGAGGGGCATTTTTCAAAAATCTTGAGCACAAACTGAAACTCCTTGAGATCGAGCTCAGGCTCCTCAAATTTTTATGATATTTTTATATTTAAAATGGCGTAAAATGTTGTTTCACACGTTTTGAGCCCAAGGTCGAACTCCCAAGAACCCAATCAATTTGTTATGGCTTTTTTATATGTAAAAAAGCGTAAAATGTTGCTAGAATTCGCTATTAGAAATCTACGAGAACGGGAAAATTATCTTTCCAGTTCTAACCCCCCCCCCGCTAACGACCCAGTACCAGTTTTTTGCAAAGCTCAACAGCTCCGGCAAGTACTCAGACAATTGCAACAACATCCAAACCCTTCACCCTCTAACAAAAAGATCATAGGCAACGGCGGCGACAAGGTCGAGCAGTCTAGTCTCCACGCAACACCTATGGACGCGGAATGGCAGTGAGGGGGCCCTTTACCGGTTCTCAATGTTTGCGCTGGGCAGACATACGTGAAGATTTCGGAATGGAGGAGCATGAGAAGGAGGAGCAGCAGCAGAAGAAGCCCTAGCCCTCGGCAAACACGCATAATATCTGGAGCTTAGGCAGCCGGTGGCAGGGTGGAATTTGGGAATTTGATGGAATCGCTGGGGTGAGTAATTGTTGACTACGCCAGGTTCCACCTGACACTTTGATTTAAAGGGATGAGCAGGATCCCTAAACTCGTTGTCGTGGTACTGGACTGTTAGCGAGGGGGGGGGGCAGGAACCAAATTTTTGCACTAATGAAAAACAACACCGCAGGCAAAAAAAATTTGGAAAAATAGGCTTCATAGAAGTAAAAACCGTCTTAAAAACAGTAATGAACAGCGCGGCAGGCAGAAAAATTTTTATTGCAAAAAATCATAAGGGTCACCCCTTACGAACTTTTCGGCCTTCGGCCGATTTTGGGGGGCAACTTGCCCCCGTTGCCCCCGCACGCCCCTGTCAGTGCCCTGGCAACAAGCCAATGGCAAAAACCCCCGCCTGAAAAGGACCTACAATGGCACTGCCCAGCGTTTTTTTTTGGCTAGAAACCAGCCGCGGCGCTGCCGAACACTTGCCCAAGTGAAATGGGCCGTCAGATGATGGCTACCGGGGGAGACTTTGTGCAAAAGACAACGCCTTCTAACATTTCTGTCGTCCTGAAAAAAGGCGCCAATGTTTCATGTGATGCCCCGAGGGAGATGGCCGATTCAATGGGCCGCACGGAGATCGGGCAGGAATGTCGCGCGGCAGAATGGATTTGGACAGAACAGGGGGTGAAAAGGTGCTTTGTGGCAAATAGAACTGATTCGAATCTGATTTAGTTTTTATTTTATTTCCATTCTAATGAAGGCCCTAGAATTAAAACAAATTGAATTTAAACGAGATGAACCAAATTTCGCGCCTTTTCCTAGTTACCGGCCGCAAAAGTGAGCTTAAAACTAAAAAATGCTCTAAACAGAAAACGAAAGATTTAGCCTCAACGACCACCGCTGGCAGCCATAAATCGAAATTCCGGCGGCGTGCCGATTTTAGGGGCGCCTGGAAATATGCCGAATCGAGGCACATGCCGCCCCGGCAAAAGACTGATTTCACCCCGAGGCGCGAACGAGCCAGCGCCCGTCCGGCGCCCCGAATTTTCGAGCTTCTCCTAGGTCTGCCAACCGATCACTTGCATGAAAGCGATCAATCAACGGCCTTTTTCGGTTCTGGACTATTAGCGGTGGGGGGTCTAGCGGGCGAAACCAAATTTTTCCCTCTGGTTCTCTACGACCTAATAACAGAATTCAAATCATTTTCATAGCACTTTCCATAGTAGTTTTTAAATAGCAAAACAATACAAAAATGATACAAATTTCCAAAAATATACGAACAATGGCCAAAAGAACGCAACATTTTCGAATTTTCAAAAGTTTTAAAACACTTTTTTCATTTTCCAGCAATAAAAACGGCAAAAACAAAGGTATAGGTGGAAAAACGGAAAGTGGTCCCCCCCCCCAAACAGTCCAGAACCGGCAGTTCCGGGGGCAGAAAGTAGCATTCCCCGGGCGTCACTTGGTGGAACCCCGCAAAATTAACATGCCAACTGGCATCGTTCTGGGATTCCGGCAGGCGAGCGAGCAAAAAAAGAGAAAACGACCCCTAGAAATTGCCCATTTACGTGCATTTCAAGCTAGCGGCGAGTCGGCAGCCATCCAACGGCGCCAGCAACCCGCGCCATACGAAGTTTTTCCAAGTGGACGATCAAATTTAAGAAATTGCATTAAAAAGCCCCCGAAAAAATCATCCAGGTACGAAAATGCATATGAAGAAGCCAAAAAAGGCGTTCCCAGCAGCCGCCAGTGGGTGCATTTCGTCCGAGGAGTCTCTTGGTATTTTGAGCCTGCTGGTTGGTCAGGGCGGATCTCCTAATCCCCCAGGAAAGCCTACTCCCCGGGCTGACTACCTACTCCCACGCACAGTGAAGCCCCCACGAGCAACAGTTTCAACCATCCTAGAAATACCAACAACGCCAAAAACTAACACTATAGGTTCAAAAGTTCACCATAAAACTTTACGAAGTTTACCACACCTTGGGAGCAGCTGCATAAGATTTTTCCTATAAAGATGAGGGAATTAGTTTATTTCGAATAATACACGGCTAATCTGGGAATCCTACTTCTAGTTTTAGGCTTAGGTTTAGCCGCAGACTTCGGCTTAGGTTTATACTTTGGATAAGCCCAGGCATAGTCTTAGGCTTCAAATTAACTGCAGCTTCAGAAAACTTCGGTGCAGTACGTAGTTGGCTGAACCATTTGAGCCACTTCCAGCTGTCCATCCCCCCGTTAAAGGGATACCCAATGTTTCGCCGGCAAATATATAGTTATGTATTCCGGGCAGTACAAATGACGCGCGAATTTTGTGCGACAAGGGGGCGCCATTGCCGCACAAAATTCGACCACCTTTCCCTCTTATGGCGTCCCGATCCCACACTATGGCTTGCCTCTATGGCCTAATGGATAGCATTGAGGCCTGCAAAACGGGGGTCCCGGGTTCGACCCCCGCTAACGGCATGGTTTTTGCTTTCTGAGCCCCGAAAAGGTTGGGTATCCCTTTAAGCCCGGTAACCAAACCAACGAGACTTTAGTGTACCTTTAAAAATCTTCGTATATTTTTTGACGCTCTTTCGAATGAGGTCCAAGAAATTCTTTTTAATACCGAAAATGTCGAATATTCTTAGAGAAAATTAAAACGCTAGTATATTTTTTATTCTCTATCGAATGGTGTCTTGAAAATATCGAAAAACTTCGCAAATATCAAAAACTAGCATGCCTCCCCCAGTTTCAAAAATGATTTTTGTGTTTGCTCTAATTTTTCTATTTTACAAGGTCGTATTTATTATCATCAAATTTTTTATTTCTTACTTCGATGTTTTCCTACTTTTTCGGTTGCCGAATCCTCGCAGAGAGGTCTGTCGCGTCGAACACGACGAAAAGCCCGACAAAAAGACGGCAAAAAGAAAAGGTATGCTGTGGATAAAACCCGGTGATATTTATTAGCTTGTAAAAACGAGTTGGAAATCAGAAAGAAATTGTTTTTTCGGCGCCGGTCAGTAAAGTCGTCGGGGGGTACATCGAAGTCGCAGCCTCAACCATCCGTCGATCGTGGCCTACGGCTTCACCGGCTGCTCCTAGGAATCGCCATTTAAATGGGGGGTGCACAAGAATAAAATCAAGGATTTTTCGAGTGGTTCAATTTCTATGATATTGATATTGATGGAAAGCTTTTCGATCTTTCGATTCTGGACTGTTAGCGGGGGGAGGGGGGTCATCACTTTCTGTTTTTCCACCGATGATGTAAATAATGTATTTTTATAGTGTTTTAGTAGTTATTGATTGCCAGAAAGTTGCAAAAATTATTTTCAAAATATTTAAAATTTTAACTTTTTCATTTTTCATACAATTTTGACGAAAAAAATCAAACATTTTCCCAAATCTTGATTATTTTTTATAGTGCTTTTATATCGAAAAATTATGCAAAATGCTCCAAAAAATTGGGTTATACCTTGTTATAGAGCCGTAGAGAGTCACAGGGAAAGTGTGGTCCCCCCCCCCCCCCGCTAACAGTCTTTCTTTCAGTAGTACGTATTCGTAAGGAGTTCCCTAATTAGGGACTGATCGAAATTCATCCAACCTTAGCGGCGGGCTTCGAGTCAGCCGGCGGCGTCTGGGCCGTGCTGGTGGGCGCGGTCGTCTCCTGCGTCGTGGCATCGGCAGTCGGCGTCTCCGCCTAAACGGATACTACTATGATTTTCAGGATCTGGTTCGTTAGCGGGGGGGAGCGGGATAATCTTAGCGATCCTTTGACCCCTGGTTAACAATAACTTTTATGTTGCGCTTTAAGTAGCCTTCCAAGTATCATCTCGAAAAATCGCAAGCATCCCGAAAATATTCGTGAAGCTTTATCGTATAGGAACCAATTTCAAACCAAATGTGAAGTTTTTCAGAGTGTTTTTTTTAAAAGTTTTTTTTCCGGCTGTGGTTCAGTTTACCCCCCCCAGCCGGCCCCCACCTACCGTATCTCGGCTCCCTGTTCATCTACAGGTGTGTAAAGTATACCAAAATACTCGCCACAGCAAGACGAACATTTTGGTATACTTTACACACCTGTAGATGAACAGGGAGCCGAGATACAAAAATTGGGTGCCGGCGGGGGGGGGGGCTAAAATGAACACCTACGTTTTTTTCCATACGTTGCCACTTGAGATATGGTTAGATTTTAGTAACCACCAGGGTTGAAAAGCCGCTTCGCGACTTTTCAACCCTGGCCCCGTCTCGGACCCCATACTATTCTTCCCTTTGCATACTTGTCCTTCATCCAGAAGACAAAAAAAATGAAAAACAACCCCTTCTGCCCCTTTATATAGACGACCGCCCACTTCCGGTCTATGCTAATTATCCCTAACAAAGAGGTTTTTACAAAAACCTAAATTTAATAGCGAAAATGGCTAATTTTTAAAAATTTGATATGTGTGCAGTCATCCCCAGACCATTACGCACCTAATGACGTATCATACGTAGCCTAATACCCGTCCCTTCTTGAGATATCCTCCGGACAGACAGACGGAAGTGGATGCAAAGTGGCACACACACACACACAAACACACAAACACTATTTTTTTATATATAGTAGGATTTATGAAAATAAAATGAAAAATTTTCCTGCCAGCGTTCTATTTCCGGCATATGCTACGGAATTAGGCAAATCGTTGCCCCCCCCCCCCGATAATACCAAAGCACCCTTATCAGGATGCCAACTTGCAGCGGGGCCAACTTTTCGGAATTTAGGAAACTCACCTGCGACTTCGGCTCAGCCACGGGCTCGTCGGGCGGCTAAATTTGATCAATTTTGCGCAAACGTAGCCGATTTTGGTCGAAAAAAAAACGAAAAAATTCCACACGAGCTCTGCGAAAAAGTTAGTAATTGAGTACAACGGCAAATAAACACTCACTTTTATATGCATTAACATTTCTGGAGAACGAAAACAAAAACGTAAAATTAGCACTATAGAGTGTCCCAAAAAACAAGACCCCCCTAGCGGCCCGGAAAAAAAGATCGGATCGGGATGTTTTTTACACCATTCGAAAGTCCTTCAAAGCGCTTTTTGTTCTCGCAAGTTTCCGAAAATTCGCGAATTAAAATGTCTATGCTCACAAACGAAAAGTGTTTTTTTAAGCTCGCCTTTTCGAGAGTTTCCGATAAATACCTAAATCGCAAAAATCGGATACTTCTGCAGCCCGCCATAGGGGCCCGATTTTTTTTTGGAACACCCTATATTGTAACCCACAGTGTTCGTGTCCGAGAACACCGAATCCACCCCGAGAGCGTTGTCGTAGCGACTGCAAAATTCGCCGATCGCTGAAAATCTTTAGATTCTAGAATTCTAGAAAATTTCGGTACAGATAGGTCAATGGGGGGAGGGGGGATTACGGGGGGAATCTCTCTCTATCTCTCTCTCTATCTCTCTCTCTCTCACACTCTCTCTAGTTCTCTCTCTCTCTCTCTCGTTCTCTCTTTCTCGTTCTCTCTCTCTCTCTGGTTCTCTCTATCACTCTCTCACTTTCTCTCGCCCCCCAGTAAAAATAGAGGACATCTCCACGCCCTACATTTGTAGAAATCCGGGTAGGTGATGAGGTGGAGCATGGTAAAGGAGCCGTTTCCATCATATTTCAGCGCACCGAGGAAGCCAAAGTAATGATGCTGAAGCAGAGGTACTATCATGAGCACGAATACACGTCCTTCGTTTTTTTTTGAGACGCTTTTGGAGTTTTGGGAGCAAAGAAAATAAAGTGGAAGCCTCACCGTGACCTTGACAGGTTTCCCTGTAGCGTCAGTTTTCTCCTCATCTTCATCTTGCCAATGAAGTTCCGTGGCATTTGAATAGAGAGAAAAGAGCCAGTCGCCGAAAAAACGCACGCCGCAATTCATTGCCTGTGATGGTGATTGGAGGCTCACTCAAGGAGAACCGGTAAGAGCTAGGGCTCTGGACGGTTAACGGGGGTCAGCAGGTGGGAAAACCCCACTTTGTTTTGCCATCTATACCCACCTGTTAATGATATATAATGTATTTTTATAGTATTTTTAATACTTTGATTGATAGAAAGCTATAAAAATTTTTTTAAAGTTTTGAAATTCGAAAATTCGGTATGACGCTTTTTTGGGCAATTCTTTATACATTTTTTACCAAGAGCAAAAATTCACGCAATTTTTTAGTTTTAATATTGTTTTTATATCTAAAAACTATGTAAAATGCTACAAAATTGGTGTATATTCTGTTATGAAGCCGTAGAAAATCACGGGCAATAATTTTGATATTGAAAATTCAAATGGTAAGACTCTACTTTACCCCCCCCAGACGCCCCTTTTCTCTGCGCCCTCTCCCCCAGGCCTACTATCTCTTCGCCTGCGCCCTCTCCCCCAGGCCTACTATCTCGCCCGGGGGGGTAAAGTAGAGTTTAGCCATTCAAATTTTTTTTGACCTTTAGCAATCAAAAACTTCCAAAAAGATGAAAAAATAAATTATATATTGTCAACAGGTAACACAGGTAATGGTTGGAGTGCAGTTTACCTCCCCCCCAACCGGCACCCAACTTTTGTATCTTGGCTCCCTGTTCGTCTACAGGTGTTTAAAGGATACCAAAATGTTCCCCTTGCTCTGGCGAGTAATTTGGTATACTTTACATGGCTGTAGATGAACAGGGAGCCGAGATATGGTAGGTGGAGGTCGGCTGGGGGGGGGGGGGTAAACTGCCCTTAAGACCAGGTCATCGGCGGAAAAACTGGAAGTGGTCTTTCCCCCTGCTAAAAATCCCTCCCCCCGCTAACAGTCCAGAACCGTGTCTTTTATTGGCGCACCTCGCTGCCCCGGACGATGTAGGCGATTCGATGCTTTCTGCGAGTGGCGTCAACAGCTTGCTTGCCGAACAGGTAGCCCGGCTGACCATCCCGTTTCTTCTCAAATCTAGCCAGGGAAAAATATCAAGTACAGCACGGGTAAAGATTGACCAACTTTTTCGCGGACCAGTTAGGAGCACTCTGAAGGGTTGTGGCGCGCAGTTTTTTCATCTTCGCGTCGCTGGGGTCGAAGCCGCGCTTCAACAGGCTCTTCTTCAGCTCGGGACCTGGAATCTGTGGCTAGGAACAGGTTCTCAGGCTCCAAAGCTAGTGTGATTCAGGAGCGCAAGGCAGACGGGAAAACGATTTTTTTTTATTTTTCGACCTTTTGACGTCCTAATAATGAACAATGTCATGCAAAGAGACACCCAAGGTTTAGAGGGCAAATCCTTAACTTTATATTTTCCCGACTCGCTCCCTTTGGCATGGTAAGGGCGGCTCCTTTGCCCGGATCAGCCCCCGATCCCTCTTGGGCAGGCCTCATCGCTGCCAACGGCTTGCCGCTATGGCTTAATGGATAGCGTCCGGGCCTAATAGGGGCGTGCCCCGGGTTCGACTCCCGGCCGCGACAATGTTTTTGCTTTTTCAGAATCGAATAAGTTGGGTCCTTTTTTGGATATTTTGGATATGATAATAATCCGATCCCCCGCTAAAGAGTAAGCGCGCCCCTAATAATAGTAACCACTAACAAGGGCCACCGTGCATCGCCAGGATCCGCTCGTCAATCGTCGCAAAGAGAGGCAGCTGCGCAAAGAATTCGTAGATGACCGTATTTGCAGCATCTTCTTCGTTCCCGGTGGTAGCGAAGGCAGTCAGCTGCAATTCTCTTCCATTCCTCGGCTCCTCGAACGATCCACACAGGTAGAAGACCTAAAAAATGCGCAATAAACAGCTACAGGGGAGCCAATATCATAGGCGGAGATACAATTACCCGGGGGGCGGCACTCATTATATCATTTTTAAGATAACGATGAAATTTCGGGAGCGCCATTTGATAGAGGCTAAAAAATATAAACTGTAAGGTGTTTTTACTCAACTCGGGGTTTCGTTTCGGGACCAAGTGCCCCTTGTGCAAAATTTTCCGCTGATTCCGAACCCCCGTTTCCAAATTTGCTGCGGAATCCTACTATATATAAAAAAATAGTGTTTGTGTGTGTGTGTGTGTGCCACTTTGCATCCACTTCCGTCTGTCTGTCCGGAGGATATCTCGATGGTGGATGAAGTTTAAGGTATGTGTGATACGTCATTAGGTGCGCAACGGTCTTGAGATGACTGCACACATATCAGATTTTACAAAATTGGCTGTTTTCGACATTAAATTTAAGTTTTTGTAAACACTTCTTTGTTAGGAATAATTAGCATAGACCGGAAGTGGGGAGTCGACTATATAAAGGGGCCGAAGAGGGTGTTTTTCATTTTTTTTTTTGTCATCCCAATTTACGACAATTATTCAAAGTGAAGGATAAAGAGGGGGTCAGACGGGGCCAGGGTTGAAAAGTCGCGAAGCGGCTTTTCAACCCTGGTTTGAATTAAAAAAGTGATTCCGGATTTAAGTTAAAAAATTTTGTTAAAATCATGATTTCTGGTAAAACATTCATTTTTTGATAATTTATCCATTCGAATTGGCTGGTTAAGCGCGCTGCAGGCTAAGATATGGATTGACAAGACCAAACATAGCTTTTTATGCAAATAGAAAAATAGGTGGTGCAGGTCGGGGGTTCGAACCGTCGCACTGGGATTGACAAGCAACCACACTACCAATGTCCCACGGCGCCAACCGAGCTATAGGATGGGTGAGGCCGATAAGGTCTCGGGGAAGGGCTGCACGGAGAACGGAACGTGGGCGTGGACCCCAATTTTTGCGGTTTCCAAGCTTAATTTGCATGTTAGATGACTTTTTTAAATCAAACTCCGCAGTCAGCGAAAAATTCTGCACACGTTGCACCTGGCATAGAAAGAAAACAACACTCCAAGTTGAGTAAAAACACTTTACAATAAGTCTGGAATTTGGAAGCAGGGATAAAAGTGTTTTCTCAGCACGCCGAGAGCTTTCGTTAGATATCTAAGGTGTAAAAATCGGACACTTTTTTTGGGGCACCCTGTAGAGCTCTATAAGGTTGCGTTACCTTGTCAGGGTAGAGGACCATGGCAGAGACGACGAGTGAGATGATGGGCAGGGCGCCGCCCGCTGCGCCCTGGGGAGAGCCCAGATTTCCCAGGAACAGCAACCTAGGTATAGTTGTTGTTATCCGTGCAATCTCAAATCTATCAAAATCTGGGGATCAAGCAAAAAGGAAATTTCTAATTTTCGTGATTTTGGTAATCTCGAATTTTCGTAATCGCGATTTTTCAGAACATCTCGAAATGTGCATGGGCGGGATGCAGGGTATCAAGGTGCAATCTCTGCTATTCTAAATGTTGATTAGTACTATCGAAATTTGGGGATTCTGAAAATTCGAAATTTTGAAAATCGAGGTTCTGATCGGTGATCGGTGCGACCGTCATGCCCTACATACTTTGTCCCCGGCTCGGCCATTGTCGCATAGGCTTGGAACAGACGCCAGGTGGTTATAAACTAAAATTATAGCATTTGGGCACTCTCAACGCAGCACGCATGGTTCTATCGCATTATCGGGGGGAGGGGGGAGGGGTTCGACTTTTTCCTATGAATCCAGAAGTCCTAATAACCGAAAAGTAACTATTTTAATAGCGTTAACAAAATTTAACTATTTTTTTATGTGGAAAAACAAGAAAAGCTGCCTATAAAAATTTTTAGTCGAAATTATGGTCGGAAGCTGGGATTTTTGGTAGAAAAATAGACCTTTTGCATTTTTCAAACAAGGTTTTGTAAAGTATCGCGCTTAGGAATAGTAAAAAGAGTTTTGATGGAAACACTTCCGATATTTATTTTAGAAGATTGTCCCCTCCCCCACCCCCGATACCGCGGAAGGACCTAATTGCTTATGCGCCAGATACATATCATTGGGACGACTCACGCCCAGTGATCCCCCATTCAGGTCGCCGATCACCCAGACGGGGCCCGTCAACCGGACCACGCCGCGCTGTCCGATGACGAGCTGCTTGGCGTGCTTGAACATAACTATCAGATCGGCCGTGTCCAACTCGTTGGGCTCAACCTGCAAGGTAAGGATTTGGAAGCTAATAACCACGGTGTACCTTATTGAACCCCTTGGCGGTGCGCGCGATCCAATTGGTTTGGGACAAGTAGTTGAAGATTTTCCTTGCCGCCGTCACGGCCGGGATGTCATTGTTGTTGGCGGGCGCCAATGGCGCAGCGCCGGCCTGTAAACGTAAAACTTGCCTTGGTACCGTCCCCTCCCCCCCACTCCCCAGCTGGCGCCAATATTTTATATCTCAGCTCCCTATTGGTTTACAGGTGTGTAAAGTATACCAAAACATTCGCCTTGCTGTGGCGAGTATTTTGGTATACTTTACGATCCGATAGAATAACACGGAGCTGAGATACGGTAGGCGGGGGTCGGCGAGGTCGGGGGGGGGGGGGGATTAAAACCGGCTTTGCGAAAATCGACGTGGTGAAAATCCGAATCGAATTCGAAGTTACGACGCAAAACCGGATCGAAACTTGGCCCCGGGCCGACAACCTCCCTAGCCGAAGAAAATAGAGGCTAGCCGACCTCCACCGTTGCTGGAGTCTCACCACTCGCGCTGGGCTCCTTCTTCGTCGGCACCGCAGAGTCCTAAGACCGCAGAAATAGGGTCGGGATCAATTTCCGAATACAAAACTAAGAAATTACAAACGATTTTACAGCCTTTCAGACAATTTTTAGTACACGTCCATTTCGGCATAGCAAAGAACAACTTAGATCGCCTGCTGACGGCTCGAAAGAGGGGCCTAACAAGCATTTCCAATCGTGCCTTCCTAGCCGCATTCAGAAACATTGCTAAAATTTTGAAAGCGCTGCCACTTTAGGCATGTGTTACGACAATATGACAATAATAAAACTTGGTAGAAACGGATTGTATAGAGTATCGATAACTAAAGATGCAAAAATCAGACCTCAACCTTTGCCGTGGTGTCGCCACTCGCGCCTGGCTCCTTCTTCCCTGGCACCGGAGAATCCTAAGACCGACAAAGAAAGTTGGGGGATCAATTTCAGCCTTCGTTAAACATTTAAAAAGATCAGGAAGGCCCGGATAAATCGTGGGTATTGATGAAGGTAGGGAGTGATGTGGGGGGGGGGGTATTACATGAAGGGCGGTCCGGGGCCAGTTGGTTATTGCTTGCATAGAGAGCTCTGACCTACGTGGGCCTTTCGTGACCCCTTCACGGAGTTGCAGAACGTTCTTAAAGGGCTAGTTCAACTTTCAGAGCTTGGGCTGGTACCTTGGGACACTATGGACGTAGGCACAGTGCGCCCGAACAGTCCCCATTACGGCATCTATTAGAGATCGCGGAAATGAGAGAGGCACAGACACAAATACGCAGAGAGGGTTCGACTCCCGGCCGCGAAAATTCTTTTGTTTTATTGGCTGACCCTTTAACGCACAAAAGTGGTAAAAGAACAAAAACAAAAACGGAGGAAGAGGTGCTTCTCCATTTAGTCGAGCGAGCTTGAGATAAGCGAGACAATATTTCAAAAATGGTTGGTTTTGAGGAACAATATACCTTTTCCAGCAGCTGCAAAGCCACGTGGCCCGTTTGGGTGAACTGGAACGTCTCGATCTTGTTCTTTTTCGCGGGTTCTGCCGGTGTATAGGTGATCTGAAGACATATCCGTCGGCTTTTCTTTGTTCGCCCTATTTTTTGGAACTTGTGTTCACGACACTCGATAGAACACCGGGGGGTAAAGCGTTTAAATTTCAACCCAATATTAATTGATTACAACATAGTGAATTAGGTTTACATAGCTTTTTTAAGCTTAAAAAATAGTAAAGCTTTCGCTACTGCAATTCCTACCTTGCTTCGAAACTCCTCGGCCCAACTTCCGGTAATGTTTTGAGTGACGAGAGTGATGTATTTTGCCAAGTGATAATCTGGCAGCCTGGATCCAGGAATTCGCGAGCAGCAGCTCCTGAACGCCCAGTTAGTTCTTAGGACATTATAGGGGGCAAGCTAAATAATTAATTCTATGAACATAATAGTTTGTGTTTAATAGTGTTTTTAGAAAAATGCAGTTATAGCTGAGAAATTTTGGTCACAAAACCGGTCATTTTGGTCTAAAATCTAAATTTGTCGTTACTTTCAGGGGCTAAAGTTTAAAAAAAGTTTCTTAAAGTGCCTTAAAAAAAGTGGGTTCCCCCAGATAGTGCGAAAGAACCCATCCATTCATCGAAACTGATCGAACATTCTGACGCACCAAATAGCACAGAAAATCGTGACCAAAACGGCGACGACGGCGACAGCGCCCACGGGTGCCGCTGAAATATACGCTCTGGTAACACGGACAACGTTATGCTTTGCTCAATACATCAGTCCGGGAACGGCACAGTATCAATTTTGGGTGCTTCCCGTTTAGTGCGGAGATGATAGATCTATCAACAACTCCTAATTTTTCTCTCCGACCGAAATTCCACCGTGCCAAATCGAGGTTCCTTTCATTAGTAGCTTTTTATTGCTAGTAAATTATCAAAAATGATTTTGTTGGATCGGAAAATATAGTCCTTCTTTTTTCGATCATTTTCAGACTTATTGATCAAAAAGATAATAAGGTTTACCAATTTTTATGCTTTATTTTTGTCTTTTTATTATTATTTTACGTCTGGAAACTCTGCAAAAGCTAAAAGAAATGGTCTTTCGTCACAGGGCCGTACGGGATTACTGGGAAAACAAAAACCTTTTTGGACTCTACCTAAACAGCAAGCGTAAATCCGGAATTGTTTTTAGATATTTTTCTTAACAGTTGGAAAATCCGACCAATCATCCATGGTTCGATCAGCTCTCCGGTTGCAACCGTGCCATTGCCGACGTAGGCCCCACTCTCTGCCCGATTTGCGCAGATTCTCTGAAAAGTAGATCATGCACAATACACAAAAGAGGTTTTTCGAAGCTTTCCAGGTGTTTCTTCTCTATCCAAAAAGTTGATTAGGTAAGACTCCAGATACCCCCCCCCCCCGGCACCAGCCTGCAGCCAACTTTTGTATCTCGGCTCCCTGTTCATCTACAGGTGTGTAAAGTATACCAAAATGTTCCCCTTGCTCTGGCGAGTATTTTCGTATAATTTAAACACCTATAGATTGTAGAGAGCCGAGATACGGTAGCTGGGGGCCGGCTGGGGGGGGAGTACCTGGAGTTCAGCCTAATTTTATTAGACCCACTATTAAAATACTCATTGCGAAAAGCAAGATTCGGAAGCCATTTTTCGACTTCACTCCGACACACGACTCAAGCCACCCCGCTCTGTGCGCCCTCCCCGTTCCCGATACAGGCCGATTTTTGTGCGTTCTCCTCTTCTACTTTCCCGGTCGCCCACGCTGCCCGTTGTTTTATGCAAGCCCGTTGTGTAATAAAGATATTTGTTCTCTTATTTTGCTCTATGAATTCTGATGTACCACAGCTCATTCGCTGGGTATTTCTTCGGCCCGAGTTAGCAGGCAAGAAGCCACGTAAGCTACAACACTAGACATTGCTTAATCGTAAGCAATATTTGTTGACCCCGCATCTAATATTGCGAATGATCCACGCACACAGATGCCCCACCGAGTCACGGTCATGCATGCAGCGCGGCGGCTCGATCATGAGACCATCCTCGCCCCATAGCTGCACAAAGATGTTCGTCTGGCAGTTCAACAACAGATCATCTTCTACTCGCTTGAGATCCGGGATCTGCAATAAAAACGTATAAGTTGCATTTTCGACCATTTATCATTTCAGACCAAAAAGCAAAGAGTTTCGATATGTTTATGAGGTGTTTAAAAATTTCTCCATCCCGCTAACAATCCAGACCATTTCATCTCGAATCCGTATTAGTCACAACTTACCGACAACAGAGTAGAGTTGATGCATTTGGGATAGCGAATCGTCCGCTGGCTCTGGTCTTCGCGGGACATCCGTACGATCTGCTGGTCCTCGTCATACCGGAATTTTTGCTAAAGAGCTGTCACCAACAGCATTCGAATAAACCTCGATGTGGCGGTAGGCCATCCGTTGCCAGCGACCATAAGGCTTCGGTTCCGGTACGATACCCCGGTTCGCGTCAACCATCAGCGTCTGTTCCTCGTTCATGAACTCGGCCCAAGGCCCAGACTGAAAACCAGTATAGCTGCTAATGAAAAATCTACCATTCCGCGCTGTGCCGAAAATGAACGCCTTGCACCAGCATCGACGATGTCAAGGAAGACACAGTCGCTGTAGTTCATCCGGCCATATTCGTAGTGGCATGGCACATCACAGTCCGGAGCTGCTTGTACGGTCCCTGGTTCGAAGGGTGGTGTTGGACTAAAAGATAGAGATTGCTATTCTGGAGCCACCTACGCCTTGTTGTCTTTTCCGCATAGTGGCAATGGTTGACACGTGCTGTTCTTATGGGGTCGACCTCCCTTCTCACAGTACTAAAAAAAGTGGAAAACTGTGAGGCATTATAAATATTGTTACCTTGAAGTCGAGACGGTCGGACACGTCGTACGGATAGTTTTGAAGAGGAGATGGATCACCCTTCAGGAAACCAGCGGCCTGCTGAAGACTCGGCACGCACGTTAGTTTCTGACGCTGGGCTTCGGCACTTGAGTCCCCATCATGCACATCAACGACCAACCTAAATCGGCTTTAATAGGAGTCTCGATCTAAATAAGTTACGCCGGGAGCGTGAATCCAGCATCACATTGCACCATGTAGTTCGTGGAGAGTTTGTTGAAGGTGGGGTCGAAGAATAGCGTGCTCCTGTATTAAAAGAGTAAATTCCGTCGAAAGTAGCTACAGCTTTTTGCCGTCACACTCTCCAAACGCCACCATCTCTCGTGTGCACACATTGAACGGGAAGAAGACTTTTTCTGAAAATGGAGAGGTATCGGCAGCGATGTGATCCGTCGTGGCCAGGTCCGTACGGGAGACGAGATTTCGGGAGGCAAAAAATTTTGGTCCCCCCGTCAAAGTTCCTCTCCCCGCTAACAGTCCAGTATCGAAATTGGCTTAAAAGATGAAAATTAAAATTTAAATCATTGTCGGTGCAGCCAGCGTTAATCTGGATTTTGCATTATTAGACTGGTTACCTCCATGCACGGATACAGGCTGGATGCAATCCGTTTCGACGGCCGAAGCACCTTCGTCTTTCTAAAAAAAGTTATCTAAAAATGGTAAGCTGCTGATTGATCTTCAGCCGGATACCGGATATTGTATCCCGACTAATCCTACTATATCCTACCAGGTGTTCTGATCTCTTACCATTGCCTGTTCACACGACATTAATAAAATGTATATTTGAAATGCTTACGCAAAACTGAGGCCGACATTTTGTAGCGACAAGGGCTCTCACATCGCCCTCGTTTCCGGTGATTGCTTTCGTATTGTCACACGGCGTATCCATAGTACAAGGCGAACACTAAATCATATTCGTCAAAATTATATATATATATATATATATGTCAATAGAAACCTTCGCGTCAGATTGTTGTAGCCATTCCGGATACGGCTGATTCAGACCTTCGTAGGCATAGCAAAGGAACGGACGGTAGTTGGCACACTAAAATTTGGTGTTGGACCTATAAGTTAAAAAGTGATACCTGCGGGGGGATGTTGGGACTAGGAACAACCGTTGAACTGGGGGTTGGAGAAGCCGTCGAGCCGGAGGGTGGAGCATTGGAAGCAGGGTCAGTTCTAGGCAACAAATCTCGTAAATTCTTGCTCACATACTCGTTAGCCGGGTTGCTGTCGTTGATGGAAATGCAGCAGAAGAGGAGAAGCCAGAATAACCCTCGACGGTGAGCATCCGAGCACGAGGCAGAACGAGTACGAGGAGCCATCACGAGCTGGATTGCCGAAGCGGCCCGAGTAGTTGATATGAGGAATTCAGAGACCAGGGCCTTTTAACAGTGTCTACCCATGATAATCAATTTGATTGAAATGCTAATTAGGCATGCACTGATCTTAAGATTGTAACTCAGACAATACTTTGGTGGTAGTCTTAATAGGACACATTAACTGGTGCCGCAATTTTTGGGCGGCGGTTGTGCAGTTTCTCGGCCGGCTGCCGACGGATAAGCTGCAATCTTACCTATTGGACTGCAAGAGCACAACAAAGAAGTGAAGGATTCGAAGAAAGCTGATCGTGATGAGATGCGACAGCATCCCAAATGGGCACTCTGGGTATGTTCGGCATCAGCTGTAAGCTCAACAGCCCCCCGGCTGAAGACTTCTGATTTTCCTCGCTAAATGCATGTTTTCCCCAAAGTCCACCGAAAATTTGAATCTGCAGTTCTCAATTTAAAATTTCACTATGGCTCGTAGTGACACATAACGGTCAGTCTCCCGCCAATTTTATGGCCATATTCACTCTCTCATTCTCCAACAACTGAATGTTAGCCTTATTCTGGCTTCTCGTGATCTGCCCCCTCTCCATTCCGAGCAGCCTAACTGTTGAGCAGTAAGTTTATCCGAGAAACTCAAACCAAGGTTTGAACGGAGAGCACAATAAAACAGAGACCCACATTCCCCCCCGATCTAGGATGTCTGGCTTAGGGCAGTTTACCCCCCCCAGTACCGTACCTCGGCTCCCTGTTCGTCTACAGGTGTGTAAAGTATACCAAAATACTTGCCAGAGCAAGGCGAACATTTCGGTATACTTTACACACCTGTAGATGAACAGGGAACCGAGTTTCAAAATTTGGGTGCCGGCTTGGGCGGGGGGGGGACTGCACTCTAACCGGATATCTTGCGGTAAGACTCTAGTTTACCCCCCAGACGCCCCTTTTCTCTGCGCCCTCTCCCCCAGGCCTACTATCTCTTCGCCTGCGCCCTCTCCCCCAGGCCTACTATCTCGCCTGGGGGGGGGTAAACTAGAGTTTAGCCTATCTTGCTGCCATCGTACCGTTTAGGAATTATCATGCCCCGAAATCTGTCGACACCGCATTCCCTGACCCGCCAAATCCCGCGGAACTGCCGCCGGTTCGTCTATTACAATCTTTTCATCAAAAGTTGGTGCTTTAGTGTGGTCGGCGCCGTTTGTTTCTTTGCTACGCGTACGAAGGGCTAAACCGATCTTTTCCGGGGTGGCTTCAGCAGCTGGAAACAAAGGTTTGACGCCACCCCATGGCGATGCCATTTGATACGGCATCGAAGGGACTATCGTTTGCAGCATGTGCTAAAATCGACCACTATAAAAAGCTGCAAAAGGAGGAGTGCCAAGACCATTACGTTCCGATGATGTCGGATGGTGCATAGTTGCCTGGCCTAAAACCACCCCCCCGCCTCGGCATTGGTCCCAAAATTGGACCAGAGGTGTATCAAACCCTAAATAACCACAACCCTCAGTCATAGCCCGATTGCTACAGCGGTTCTCGAGTTATAACCAGAAACTGCTTACTATGCAATTTTGGTAAGACTCCAGATAACCCCCCCTGAGCTGGCGCCCAATTTTTGTATCTCGGCTCCCTGTTCATCTACCGGTATGTAAAGTATACCAAAATGTTCGTCTTGCTCTGGCGAGTATTTTGGTATACTTTACACATGTAGATGAACAGGGAGCCGAGGTACGGTAGGTGGGGGCCGGCTGGGGGGGGGGGGGGGTAAAACTGCATTTGCTTAAGTATCAACTATAATAAAAAAGTAGTGGTGTCCGTCTGTGTGTGTGTCTGAAGCCGAATTCAACTCGAAGGGGAAAAGAGCTAGAGCTTAGCTCTCTTCGGATTTGGATAGAGCGTGGTCAGAAACCCCCAAACTGATAAAAAAATTATGAAAAAGTTTTAGTTTAAATTATTAAAATTAACTTTGAAAGTGGCGCCTTAATAAAACGAGTGGGGGCGCCTCTCCCGGCAGGCCACGCCCCCCTCTCCCTTCGCCCCTCTTCCCCAGGCCCCTTCCCGCGTCCAGATAACTTTTTAAGTTACTTTAATACTTTTAATACTTTTTAATTATGTTAATTTATTATTGAAATCATTTAAAGTATCTAAAGCCATCGGGAAGGTATTTAGGTAGTTTTTGACGGGGATTTCGGCTAGGGGAGGTATCTGAAGCCATCATGATGGTATTTAAGTAGTTTTTGACGGGGATTTCAGCCATGGGGGGGGTATCTGAAGCCATCGGGGAGGTATTTAGGTAGTTTTTGAAGGGGATTTCAGCCATGGGGGTATCTGAAGCCATCGGGGAGGTATTTAGGTAGTTTTTGAAGGGGATTTCAGCCATGGGGGGTATCTGAAGCCATCGGGGAGGTATTTAGGTAGTTTTTGAAGGGGATTTCAGCCATGGGGGGTATCTGAAGCCATCAGGAAGGTATTTAGGTAGTTTTTGAAGGGGATTTCAGCCATGGGAGGTATCTGAAGCCATCAGGAAGGTATTTAGGTAGTTTTTGACGGGGATTTCGGCTATGGGGGGTATCTGAAGCCATCAGGAAGGTATTTAGGTAGTTTTTGACGGGGATTTCGGCTGTGGGGGGGTATCTGAAGCCATCAGGAAGGTATTTAGGTAGTTTTTGACGGGGATTTCGGCTATGGGGGGTATCTGAAGCCATCAGGAAGGTATTTAGGTAGTTTTTGACGGGGATTTCGACTATAAGGGGTATCTGAAGCCATCAGGAAGGCATTTAGGTAGTTTTTGACGGGGATTTCGGCTATAAGGGGTATCTGAAGCCATCAGGAAGGCATTTAGGTCGTTTTTGAACGGGATTTCGGCTATCGGGGGTATTGATGGAGGTGGGAAAGGATGTGGTGAAGTGGGACATGTAGGGTAGCCCGAAGGCCAGATGGTTGCAGTCGCGAAGCGACTGTAACCATCTGGTACTACTATATATCGAATACCCCCAAAAACATCACGGTTAAGTGCACCACTTGCGTGACCAACAAGCTTTGCGATGATACGGAGAGCGTCGGTGGGCACAGTGGCGGCTACAGACTGGATGTCGAAGGAGAATGTCGACCTCAATTTTGCGTATGGTCTCTACCGCTTTTTAAGGCCTCTATTTTCAGCCAGATGGGGAGGGATCGCTAAACAGCCTCGATTGCATAAAACCTGTTGCAGTCGGTGAAGGTATTGCGTTCTTTTCCAATGCCAGCTAGGAGACTTTCTGAAAGCGAAACACATCCATTCTTCTTCCAATGAAAAGGTCCTTTCCAGAAAAAGTCCTTTTCCCATTCAATCTATGCACGAGGGAGATGGTGGCGTTTGGAGACTGTGATGGGAAAAAGCTGTAGTTTTTATGCCCTATCGTAATATTGGGTGGTTCTAGGAGCACAAAGACTTTTGAACCGTCCGGTGGCAAGCTCTCCACCGAATACATGGTGCAATGTGATGCTGGATTCACGCCCCCGAAGTGACTTATGCTCCGAAAAGCGGCTAAAAGCCATTTAGCTTGGTCGTTGATGCGCATGAAGGTGATCAAAGTGCTGAGACGACACGTCAGAAATTGACATGCGTGCCAAGTCTTCAGCAGGCCGCTGGTTTCCTGAAGGATGATCCATCTCCTCTTCAAAACCATCCATACGACGTGCCCGATCTTTTCGACTTCAAGGTAACAATATTTATGAAGCCATTCTATTTTTAGTACTGCGAGAAGCGAGGTCGACCCCATAAGAACAGCACCTGTCAACCATTGCCCCTCTGTGGAGCAGACCACACGACGCCGTAGGCCACTGATTAAGTATGCACGACATTTTTAGCCCAATTCCACCCTTCAAGAACGGAACCGTACAAGCAGCCCCGGACTGCGAGGTGCCATGCTACCACGAATATGGCCGGATGAACTACAGCGGCTGTGTCTTTCTTGACATTGTCAATGCTAGTGCAAGAATTTTCTTTTCGGCACGGCGCGCAATGGTATGAAGCTTGATGGGCTTACAAGGAGACGGTTTTGAGTGACATCCCAGTTTCGTAGATGCGATAGCTCATCGGATAGAAAAAAATTCTGTACAAGATGACGTTTTCCAAACCTGCGTAATCGCCGATGCGTTCGAGAAAATTAATTTTAAGATCGCTAAATTTGACGTTGTTTCGACCTGGTCCACCATTTCCGCGTCTTGGGGAGTAGCCTTATAGGCTCTTTCGGACACCCTGGTCGCCATGCCGGCGTGGCCGATTGGTAGTGCGCTTGCCTATCAATTTTTGGATTTTTTTTGTGCTCGAGTTCGGTTCCTGGTCAATCAAGATTTTTTGCTTTTTGCTTTGCAGTACTGAAGTCAATGTTGGCTGTTGGCGGCTCTTGTTAAATAACTTCGGCAAGGGTTCCAGGTAACTTTAATCCCTTCGAGGATAGTTTGGATAAGAATTATGTAGTACCGAGCTTGTGTAGTACCGATTCCCTTTAATTTTATCGTCCCACGCCCACCCCTAATATTTTTTTTTATCCGCCGATACCAGTTTTGAAATTACGAAGCAAAAAGCAAAAAATCTTGATTAACCAAGAACCGAACTCGCGCACAAAAAAAATCCAAAACTTTGTTAGGCAAGCGCACCACCAATAGGCCACGCCGGCATGGTGACCAGCGTGTTCGAACGAGCCTATAAGGCCACTCCCCAAGACTTCAGAAATGGTGGGCTAGGTCGGAAATAACGTCAAATTTAGCGATTTTAAAATTAATTTTTCTCGAACGCATCGGCGATTAAGCAGATTTGGAAAACCCCATCTTGTTGAGAATTTTTTCTATCCGATGAGCTATCGCACCTACGTAACTGGGATGTCATTCAAAAACGGCTCCTTGTTAGTGCAGTTTAGTCCCTCCCCGTCCCCGCAGCTGACCACCACGCACCGTACCGCGGCTCCCTGTTCATCTACAGGTGTTTAAAGTATACCAACATACTCGCCAGAGCAAGACGAACATTTTGGTATACTTTACACACCTGTAGATCAACAGCGAGCTGAGGTATAAAACGTGGGCGCCAGCTCGGGGGGGGGGGAACTGCACTCTAACCTAACTTCCATTCAGTCGGGACCGTATGCTGAATTCATGGACGAGGAAGAGAACCTGATGTTCGGCGCTGTATTCAATTCAACAAACGCCCTGATAGCACCGACTGGCCCGAGCCCCATGGAGCCGTTAAGCCGCTGGGGGCGGGTGGCCTACACCCAACCAGAGGTCTGTTTGACTTCCATTCGACCATTGCCCTGGTTTAGTCACAACTTTGGGTAATGAGCAATGAGCAGTGGATGTCGTTGGCCCCCGACTCGTATCGATACCCCAAGTGCATTAATACAACTTTGTTATCGGCAAGTTTTGCGTGGTGCTGGAGACAAATCAACATGCCTTGTATTGGCTGAATATTCCCATTCCAGTACTTGGATCGAAAGCGGGTACTACGTGACGCCCTGCTGAATTGCAAGACTAACATCTTCGTGCAGACGTTTGGTGATGAAGGGCTAATGATACAGCCGCCGATCTGTGATGGGGAAGAAGATCCGGTGGGGAAATTTGGTAATTGCTTGACCATCAAGTTCAGGGCCTAGAATGTTAGTGTGCGGAACCCGTATGTCGGGACCTTTGGTTTTCCACTTACTGATACTATACAATTTACATTTATAGTCGTTTTACCAGTTTTTGATTGCTTTTTTATAAACAAACTATGTAAATTGCTATGAAAGTGGTTTATATTTTGTTATATGGCCGTAGAGAATCACTGGGAAAAAAATTGGTTACCCCCGTTAAAATTCCGCCCCCCGCTAACGGTCCAGAATCCGCTTTTCAGCGAATTTGCTTCAATCGAATGGAGCCTGCGATCGTCGACGATTCCGGCCTTCGTGTGACCACATGGGCCGATTACTGGGCTTATTGTTTGTATTTATCATGCACTTGTTGTGCTTTGGCTTTCGCTACACAAATATTTTTTTTCGGTTCAGGGAAGGGCTGAAATGGGATGAACAAACTTTTTTCTATAAGTCCAGAAATGCCTAGTAACGTAATATTTATAAAGATTTTATAGTGTTTTTGGGAAAAGTTAACCATATTTTACGTGGGATTACAATCAAAGAACATTATAATTTTTTAAGGTGAGGGTTTGGTCGAAAATCGGTCAATTTCCGTAGAAAAATTAAAAAATTTTTATCAGAATGTGTAAATTGAAGTTGTACCCCCCTAGTGCGAAAGAACTTTTTTTACAGATACCGGGGGCGCAATCGGCTTTGCGGTGCTGGTGATTACTACGTGTTTCGTATACGGAAAGTAAGTTATTTCCTGCAATTACCTTGGAATTCCTCCAGGCGCTGGTTGTGTTCGAAACTACCAGCTGTTGAATTGCCAGAACTCCCAGAGATCTGCCAGAATATCGCGCTTGAGCAACAAACCATTTCCGGGAATTGGGCTGATGGCTTCAATCGATTGGTAGCGAACTACCGCCACGGTATCCTAACCGCATCAATTTCAGATGGGCGGAAAGTCAAAAATAGCCAAGAAGGGCAGGATGCGCTTTGCGACGCACGGGCATATTGCGCTGCAAATCAAGCCGGTGCGTCCTTTGAGCTTTAGTAGTTGCGGAGGTTGATGTAACTTCGTTGTTGATTGTGTTTTAGGGGTCTCGTTACAACGCTGGAAAAGAAGCGGAAACCGGGCAAAAGAACGAAGGAAATCCGGCAAACGGGGTCGGACCTCCACGAAAAATTGATGTTTTCACATTCAATCGGACAACATGGATTTTTCAGGCCGATGAGAGAATTACCTGCACTACGCCCAACGATTGTCTGGCGGTGGCCAGCAATATCTTACAAACGCTGGCGGATGATCGATTTCTCCTGAAGCCGGAGGGACAGCCAATTCCGAAATTCGATCCGGCCGAACTGCTGACGGTATTCGGGCGCGCAACGGAGATTGTCAACGAGCAACAAGGCGTCGTCCATCTGACGGGACCCGTCTGGATCATAGGGGATCTGAATGGCGATGTGTGTTATTTTCGAAGCAACCGCTCCCGGCTTTTCACCACTGGCCCCGTCTGAGACTATGGATAATTGTTACTTTGCGTCATTATCCCAGCCTCTTTGTTTTTGAAATAGGCGACCTCCCGTCCGAGGTACGTTAATTTCTTCCTAACAGAGTCGGCGAACGGTTTAAAAGACTTAAATTTAATATCGAAAATAGCACTCTTTTCCAGAATCTGATCTGTATCCTCATGTCATGGTCATGACGACAAAATGACGTATAGCAAACATAGCCAAAGCTCTTCGGGACAGAGCTAACGAAGCAATTACTTTTCAGTTCGATACTGCTTGGCGTATCTTCAAGGCCTACTCAACCATGGCAGAACCGGGCACGAAGTAGGTTTGCTTTTTTGGATAGCGATAAGGTGCTAATTGCTGGTTCGCAAGTTACCAGCAACTGTTTCGAAAGTTCCATGGCCTAGCCGATTGGTGTAAATTCTGCTAGCCGAACGTAGACAGTAGCGACTTATCCTTGAAGTGACAAAACACATTCCTAAAGTCTAGTAACCACTTTCGTGACAAGCACCAACAATTAGGATGCTGTTCCTGGGCAACTTGGGCCGTGATAACCATGGTCTGCCGGTGGTCGTCCTCGTCGTAGCCGCAATGCTTATCCACCCGAAAAACGTAGTTTTCTTGCGTGTTTACACTACCCGGGAACCATTACAGGGTGTCCCAAAAACATGGGTCCAACATTCGAGGCCTTTTGTTTTAGGTCTTCTACCTTGCTGGAAGCTTTGAGGGACTTGGACCATTTACCGATTTGGATGCTCCAGGTGGGATAACCCTACCGCTTAGAATTTTAGCGCGTAGCTTGTGATGGGTGTGTGTATCTGCAAGCGTTTATCAACTTTTCTTTTCAACAATCAATTTTGGCGACTTTGATACATTGCTGAAAAACAGCGCGGCAGGCGGAAAATTTAGTAACACCTAGGGTAGAGATGAAGGGATTAGGAACAACCATGAACTTCAGATGTTTCGCTGCTCGAAATTGTCGGAATGCCGGAAGCAGAATTGAAGGCAGCCATCGTTGATTTCTTCGCAGGCCTGCCCCTTATTGCCACCATCAACAATCGTATTCTTGCAATGCACGGCGGCATTTGTAAGTACCATTTGCGTGGTTTTTTAGGATAGGGCTATCAACTATAATAAAAAAGTAGTGGTGTCCGTCTGTCTGTCTGTCATGTCCCAGATTCAACTCGAAGGGGAAAGGAGCTAGAGCTTAGGTCTCTTCGGATTCGGATAGAGCGTGGTCAGAAACCCCCAAACTGATAAAAAAATTATGAAAAAGTTTTAATTTAAATTATTAAAATTAACTTTGAAAGTGGCGCCTTAATAAAACGAGTGGGGGCCCCTCTCCCGGCTGGCCACGCCCCCTTTCCCTTCGCGCCTCTTCCCCAGGCCCTTTCCCGGGCCCAAATAGCTTTTTAAGTTACTTTAATACTTTTAATCCTTTTTAATTATGTTAATTTATTATTTAAATAATTTAAAGTATCGGGATGGAATCTAAGTAGTTTTTTAAGGGGATTTCGGCTATGGGGGGTATCTGAAGCCCTCAGGAAGGTATTTTGGTAGTTTTTGAAGGGGAATTCAGCCATGGGGGGTATCTGAAGCCATCAGGAAGGTATTTTGGTAGTTTTTGAAGGGGAATTCAGCCATGGGGGGTATCTGAAGCCATCAGGAAGGTATTTTGGTAGTTTTTGAAGGGGAATTCAGCCATGGGGGGTATCTGAAGCCCTCAGGAAGGTATTTTGGTAGTTTTTGAAGGGGAATTCAGCCATGGGGGGTATCTGAAGCCATCAGGAAGGTATTTTGGTAGTTTTTGAAGGGGATTTCAGCCATGGGGGGTAACTGAAGTCATCAGTGTAGGTATTGCCATAAAGGCATCAGCGTAAGGTAGGGATGAAATTTGGTGATGTAGAATGGGGAGGGTAGCCCGAAGTCCAGTCGGTTACAGTCGCGAAGCGGCTGTAATCGGCTGGTCTATAATACAAACCGCCACTTTGAGGCCGATCGTTGACCGCACGGGTTCTAAATAACGGCTTCGATCCGCGAAACCCGGTCGAAGCGTGCTTCCGCCGCCGAACAATCTTGAGTGCACCGAATTGGTTGATCAGCAAGCAAGTCGAGATTTTGTATGCTCTAATGGCCTTCTGGTGGTTTAGTTACAAGCCGAGGCCGAAGCATCCTAAGTTGCCTGACCATGGTCATTTTTTCGGCGAGAAGGCGGTCGACGAGGCACGCAAGGAGCTGGGCATTGATTATATAATCCGTACCGAGGTTCGTATTATGTGTTGCCACCGGACTTCATTCGTTCGCTCCTTTAAAGGTACACTAAAGTCTCGTTGGTTTGCTTACCGGCCGGTAACGGTCCGCTGGATAGCAAACAGGGTTATGATAGGCGCTCGCCGCGGAGCAAAACCCAACCCGAGCCGCCCGCCTACGGCAAGCGCTTTGGACCACTAGGCCATAGGACAGAAAGGGGAGCGGAAGCTATCAAGGGTCGGGCCAAGCCGCGGCAAAGGAGCAAAATTCCTCAGGGGACCCACTTTTTTGAACGAGATTTTAGTGTCTTTCAAGGGATCATGGAGGCCCAGTCGATCAGGTCTTATCTATAATTGGCATCGAGCCAACCGGAAATGCTAATTAAAAAAACGGGCAAGAGGAAAGAGAGAAGATTTATGCTAATTTTTTAACTAAAGCCCGTTCTATGCTAATTCTTTTCTGGGCCTTCCTGATACCCAACCTTTTTGGAGCTGAAAAAGCAAAAAAAAATGACGCGGCCGGGGGTCCAACCCGGAAGACGCGCTTTGTAGGCCTGGACGCTAACCAATAGTCCACTATTGGCCTTTAATAGTCCCTTTAACTTTAATTTTCGTCTCAAAATTCGGTTGCGCCCGCGGTTACGCGAGAAAGCCAGTCCAAGAAGGTGCACATGGGGAACGTTAGTGCTTAACAAGCTTCGCTTTTAGGAGCTGAAGACGGGCATTCGATTTTTCGGGGATTGGGTCATCTCTCTCGACTCATCTTCTCAGCCGCGTCGAGATGTATGTACAAAGTTTTTGTATCTTTGCTAGGTTGAACGGGACTTAGACCTCCCGTTTCCCCCCCTCTTTCCCCTTACACAGGGGGGTTGGAGGGGGAAAACGGGGGGCTGGGTAGGGGGAAAAGGGGGGTTGGGTAGGGGGAAAATGGGGGGCTGGGGAGGGGGTAAAGGGGGACTTTTTGGGGGGTTTTTGCGAGATGAAAAACTAAATTAAATTTGTTATACCTGTTTTTTAGCTTTCTATTAGCAGCAAAAATGCATATTTGAAGGTTACAGATAGATCTCTACAGCAGACAGCTGTTTTCTCGCCATATTTTAGGTGTAGAAAAAGTTTAGGTTTAGAAAATGTTAAAAATACGTGGTTTTCAGTGGTTTTTTCCTGTAATTAAATAATATAGATAAAGTAAAAAGCAGTAGATGAAGATTCGCATCACCGGTTGACGATATTTCGTTTAATTCGACGCTTTTTGCCTTGCCGCCCTGGTTTTCCTAGCCACCATGGTAAAATGAAGCCTTCTTTGTGAATTTAGTGTTTTTCTACTCAAATATAATAATTAAACGGTTTGGGGAATGGAAGAGAATATAGTCACCGTTTTTACCGAAACTTTATGGTCTCGGTTTTTCGACTAGGGGGGTTGGGAGGGGGAAAATGGGGGGTTTTTTTGGGGGACTTTGGGGGCTCGGGAGGGGGGCTTTTTGGGGGGTAAAAGGGGGCAAAAGGGGAAAGAGGGGGGAAACGGGAGGTCTAACGGGACTTCTAACCCATTCGAGCTAAAATCTGAAGCTGCTGAAATGCTCTGCACTGATGATGCACGCCTTTTTTGGGCTCACGACATCTGTCCGATTTTTAGTGCCCTTGTTCCCAGAAACTCTGTATTTTCTTAAAGGTAAAAATGACCTACTCTGACTGTAGCATTCGATTGTATGTTTCCGCGCCGCAAGTAATTGAACAAGGTCCAAACAAGCTTAATAGGCTTTTTCAGTCGGCAGGTCCGAAGTCCATGGCGACCGTGCTTCGATACGACGGAAGCGCCAACTTCCGCATGATTACCCTGATCCCCCCGCCATGCTTCTACAAATGTAATGCAAGGCCGGCAAATATCCCTGATTTGTTGCGAAAAACTTGCACAGTTAGAATGCCAGAAAACTCGATCCACGACAATCAAAACTAACTAACATAACTAAGTAACTAACTCATAACTTCCGGAATGTACGAGCACCGAAGACGCATTCTCTTTCTAGCGCAGAGCGATTTTGCGATGCAATATCTTCGCAACATCGCCGGTGACAGGCCTTTCATTGAGACTCGCACGGTAAGTGGAGGTTTTGTTTAAGGTATTGAGGTACTGCAGTGAATTTGGCATTGACCACGAATTTGGTATGTAACCAGGGTTGAAAAACCGCTTCGCGGCTTTTCAACCCTGGCCCCGTCTTCTCCAATGATATTCTTGGCTTTGCATAATTTTCCCGGAATCGGATGACGAAAAATGAAAAATGCTCTCGCCGTCCCTTTATATAGGCTACCGCGACTTCCGGTGCATGCTAATTTGATCCTAACAAATTGGGGTGTCCGATTTTCAATCCTACTATATATAAAAAAATAGTGTCTGTGTGTGTGTGTGTGCATTTGCATGCAACTTCCGTGAGGATGTTCCGCACCTACAGCCTCAGGGAAGAATTTTTTCGCTGGGGCAGAAACGTCATTAGGTAAAGAAGGGTCCGGAATCGACTGCACGCACATAAAATTTTTAAAAACTTGCTATTTTAGCTATTAAAAACTAAATTTTGTAAAATTCTCGCCCACCCTCTTTGTTAGGGATCAATTAGCATAAGCCGGAAGTGGGATAGCCTATATAAAGCGACATAGGAGGCGTTTTTCACTTTTTCCTGATAGATTTCAGGGAAGAAGCATGCAAATTGAAAACTTTGATCGGTCCTAGACGGGGCCAGGGTTGAAAAGCCGCGAAGCGGTTTTTCAACCCTGGTGATATATAAAAAAATAGTGTCTGTGTGTGTGTGTGTGTGTGTGCCACTTTGCATTCAACTTCCGTCAGGTTGTTCCAGTCGTATCTCAAGAAGGAGAGTAGTTAGGGTCATGTTCGATACGTCATTAGGTGCATAATGTCCAGGAGATGACTGCACACACATCAGTTTTATCAAAATCGTCTATTTTCGACATTAAATTTTAGTTTTTGTTGAAAATTCCGACACCCTCTTTGTTAGGAATCAATTAGCATATACCGGAAATGGGAAGAGCCTATATAAAGTAGCAGAGAGCGCATTTTTCACTTTTTTTCAGCGTGGGTCGTGCCGAATTATGCAAATTGTAAACTTTCATTGGGTTGGACGGGGCCAGGGTTGAAAAGTCGCGAAGCGGCTTTTCAACCCTGGTTTTCAATGAAAAACCTAATTTTGATGTCGAAAACATCATATTTTGTAAAATCTGATAGTGTGCAGTCATCTCCAGGCCATTACGTACCTAATGACGTATCGAACATACCCCTACGTACTTCCCCTCTTGAGATACTAATGGAACACGGTGACGGAAGTTGCATGCATAGCACACACACACACAGACACTATTAAGTTGACTGATTGACACTATTAAAAGAGTAATTGTTTTGTATTAGTTTGTATTAAAAGTTGACTGGAAGTGGGTAACGTCGGGGGCGCCTGGTCGCTACGCGCGCCGCGGTTTCGAAACTTCCAATTTCGAAACACGAGCTCGCACCCATCCGAAGCGACTAGGCCCCAGGTGGCACGAAGCCTTTCTCTAGTCGCAGAGCGGAAGAATTAACAGCACTTTCCTTCGATTGCCCCCCATTAGTCATAAAACCATTAGTCATAACCTCGGTACTAATGGAATTTATGACTAATGGGTTTATGACTAATGGATTTCGCCCCTTTCCTTCCAAATTGAATGACTGCTGTCGCAAAACTGACGTTTTGTTGTTTCTAGCACGAAATTCCGAACCGGCGCGAAATATTGCATCTCCAAGTAACTGAAACTAAATATCGCGGCGCAAGCGTCGTGGCGCACATACAGGCGCAAGTGTCGCTGCCATTTTATCCACTAGCGACTCCTCATCGCTATGTTTTAGCCGAAGACTGTGCGTTACTGGCCTCAGCCAAAGGACACCAAGCAGCCCGCTTAACTCGCCTTCTCTCAACGATGGATCATCCGGCACAACCCATTCTCAGCCACAAAGCTCCCGATGATTCGAATAACTTTTGTATTTCGCTGGATAAAATGAATGCTCGACATATGATGTGCTGTTGGACTTGAAATGCTTTTCGAACCAGAATAAATCCGAAAATAAAGTGCATTTTCAGTGGTTTTCAAGTTGTTTTATCTTTTCCCGAATGTTCCTGTGGACCTCCCGACTCTACAAATATTCTGTAATTTAGCTTCGCTTCGCGACTTTTCAACCCTGGCTCCGTCTTACCCCCATGCTTCACTACTTGCTGTGCATTACTGTGCAGGAAAATGAAAAGCCCGTCTTCGCTTCGCGACTTTTCAACCCTGGCCCGTCTGATCCCATGAAATTCTTTGGCATAATTTTCACAAATTCAGATGTCCTCGCTCCCAATATATAGGCTATCGCCACTTCCCGTGCACGCTAATTGTTTCCTAACGGAGCGGGTTCCCGAAAATGTTGCAAAAACTTCAATTTAACCTTGAAACTAGCTGGTTTTGTAAAATCTTATATGTGTGCAGTCATCTCCAGACCATTGCGCACCTAATGACGTTTCAAACATATCCCCAACTGCTCTCCTTCTTGAGATACTACTGGAACACGGTGACGGAAGTTGTATGCAAAGTGGCACAGACACAGACACACACAAACACTACTTTTTTATATCAACTACCAGGGTTGAAAAGCCGCTTCGCGACTTTTCAACCCTGGCCCCGTCTGAGCCCATGAAATTCTTCACTTTGCATAATCCACCCGAACTGCGATTAAAAATAATGAAAAACGCTCCCTTCTCCCCCGTTATATAGGCTCCCGCAACTTCCGGTGTATGCTAATTTTTTCCTAACAAAGGGGTGACGGAGTTTTTAAGAAAAACTTGCTTTTAATGTCGAAAACAATCGATTTTGAAAAATCTGATATGCGTGCAGTCATCTATAGACCATTACGCGTCTAATGACGTATCAAACACCTCCTTACACCCCTCCCCTCGTGAGATATCCTCCGGACACGCTGACGGAAGTTGCATGCAAAGTGGCACACACACACACACAGACACTATTTTTTTATATATACAGGGTGTCCAAAAAAATTGTTCCGGACTTTGGGCTCGAATAACTTTTGATAGAAGAATATTTCACCATGCGTTACCATGCCAGAATGCTTAAAAGTGTCTGGAACTCCGATTTAGATCGACTTGATTTTTTCGATTTTTGAGTACACAACTGTACTATTGACGCTGGTTACGACCGAAAATTGTGCGTTCTTGAATGGGTGGTGGGAAAATTCTGAATTTTGGCCCAAAAATAGCTGATATTTATAGAAAGTTAATCCCCAAATCTTAGAATTTTTGAAGCTCTAGTTCTTCTTTTACAAGCAAAACAAATTTCACTATTTTGCAGCTTTTTGCCTTTTAATTCGCAACTCGCATCAAATACGCTGCCCATGGCTGATCTTTTTCAGATGGTATCTTCGAATGATAATCTTTAGCACAACACCAAATTTTACCTGATTCTATGGTATTTTAATATTGCTTGCTAAAACGTGCCCCAGAGGGATACTGTAGTTTTCGTTTTTCGCGTTTTTCTTTTTATTGTAAGGTGCGATTTTGCTTAAAATTTTTTCATTGGTAAACACTAGTAAGGGTCACCTATGGGCTAAAGATCGCGAAGTTCTAGCCACACACCTTCCCAAAATATGCAAAAAACTTATTTTTGCATTCAGCCACGGAAATGTCTAAATATTTTGATGCATCGGACCAAAAACTACTATTATTTGTTTTCCCGAAAGATCAAAACGCTTTTATGGTGAAAAGAACGAAAAAACGACGATTTTCTGTTTTCTACCGTAAGCCGTCTGGAGCACGTTTTAGCATGCCAAGACAAAATGCCATAAAATGCAGATTTTACTATTCTAGAATGTTCTCTGAGTAATTATAAGGAAGCAGGCGAAAAATCGCTTACTTTCTGTGGTAAATAACAAAGTTATAAGGGAAAGAGGAAAACCATCATCGGGGCCCGATTTTGGAAATGAGGGCCGGGGTCGAATACCGAATTTTTGAAAATGAAAAAGGCACCGGATTTTCGTGGAGACAATTAAAGCATGCATCGAATTGTGTGTGAGAGCAGAATTCTGGAATGATCTGGCTGAAGTTAATGGTTCATTTTAATTTAAAACCCGAAATTAACGTTTTTGAAAACCCGACTTTGGGGCGCTCTTCTTAATTCGTTTGCCATGAAAAGGTTTTGTATTTGCATGGGTTCTAGTTGACTACCCAAGCTTGGTCTATGCCAGAAAAGTCGGGGCTACAAGAGCTTCGAGAATTTTTTTACGTCGCCTCGAATTCGGGTATATTTGGGCTTTTCATGAATTTCTTTTGAAAGATCGGATGGCCCAATAAATTTGTAAATAGAATCTTAGAAGGCGCCCATTAAGTAGTATTAAATAAAATTATGACAGTAATTCTAGCCGCGCAATTGAATTTTATCGACTGGCGCAAAGATCTGCGAAATAGCACGAAGCAACCGTTTTGGAAGCGCTAAAAGGCAACCTTCCAAAGGGGTACGGTAGCTAGTAATTGTCTACATGATAGATGGACTCCGGTCCTACACACCAAGCAAAGAAAACACCTAGGTTCGATTCGGAACTTTAGAAATATTTTTTCAAAGTTCAGTTTTGTCACTTCGAAAAAATCCATGACCAGCTGATCGTTGAAAAACTCGAAAAATGACCGATCTCAAAAAATTCTTTAATATTTTTATGTGATAGTATGGCGTCTGTCGGCAATCCACAACGACTTAGTTTGGGATTTTCGCCATAGGTTTTTTAATACTCGAAATTTACGAAATTTCTCCATACTAAACTTGAGTCGGCTATAACTTTTCAACCAGACCTTAGAAAAATCCTAAATTTTGCATGTATCTATCTAATGCCTACAAGAATTTACGCAGCAAAAATTAGAAACTCCCCACCACAGGCGGCTGAGAAAAAATACAAATTAAACTTCCCCGAACGCACAGCTTTCGGGTGTCATTTGTATTGATACGTCGCCAAAAATCGAAAAAATCAAGTTGATCTAAATCGGAGTTCCAGACACTTTTAAGCATTCTGGCATGGTAACGCACCGTGAAATATTCTTCTATCAAAAGTTATTCGAGCCCAAAGTCCGGAACAATTTTTTTGGACACCCTGTAGTAGGATAATAAAAAAGTAGTGGTGTCTGTGTGTGTGTGTGTGTCTGTCCGGTCCCGAATTCAACTCGAAGGGGAAAGGAGCTAGAGCTTAGCTCTCTTCGGATTCGGATAGAGCGTGGTCAGAAACCCCCAAACTGATTAAAAAATTACGAAAAAGTTTTAGTTTAAATTATTAAAATTAACTTTGAAAGTTTTTTTCCTTAGTAAAAGGGGTGGGGGACGGAGGTTGGGGTGATCTTGGACATAGTGAGCCAGGTGGCGCGCGTTTCGTGGATGAAAATTTTCACGAGAGCCATTCATTTCTTTTTTTGCTCCAACCTATCCGGTCGGTCGTTATTTTTGTTTTTAAGGAGATTTAGGCTAGGGGAGGTATCTAAAGCCACCAGGAAGGTATTTGGGTAGTTTTTGAAGGGGATTTCAGCCATGGGGGGTATTTGAAGCCATCGGGAAAGTATTTAGGTAGTTTTTGATCGGGATTTCGGCTATGGGGAGTATTGATGGAGGTGGGAAAGGATGTGGTGGAGTGGGACATGTAGGGTAGCCCGAAGGCCAGATGGTTGCAGTCGCGAAGCGACTGTAACCATCTGGTATAGTAGGATTTTTGTGGCTTAAATTGGAATCAAAGTTGCCGGTCCTGAAAAAGAACTATCTGAATCTTAAGAACAGTCCATAGCTCATTAGCATGCGCATTAGCGACATTCCGTAAATTATCCGTTGCCACTGTCCTGAATTCCTCATATCAACTACTCGGTCCGCTTCGGCAATCCAGCTCGTGATGGCTTCTCGTACTCGTTCTGCCTCGTGCTCGGATGCTCGCCGTCGAGGGTTATTCTGGCTTCTCCTCTTCTGCTGCATTTCCATCAACGACAGCAACCTGGCTAACGAGTATGTGAGCAACAATTTACGAGATTTGTTGCCTAGAACTGACCCTGCTTCCAATTCTCCAACCTCCGGCTCCACGGCTTCTCCAACCTCCAGTTCAACGGTTGTTCCTAGCCCCAACATCCCCCCGCCGGTACCACTTTTTAACTTATAGGTCCAACACAAAACTTGGTGCTTTCAGGTTATCGGGGGGCGGTTATTTTAGCGGGGGGAGGTTGCGTACTTGTTTCTAAAATATCTTGCGGGTCGACTAATTAAAGCTGACCGTTTTCATAGACTTGTGCGCCGTTTGAAATGGTTCTGGACTGTTGGCGGGGGAGGAGAAATTAAGAAAAATGTCATAAAACATGTCTAAAATTGTTGCTTTTTCGGTCTAACGTGTATGAAAATGGCTAAAACACGCTATCACCCTAGATTTCGTGACAGTAGGATAAATGTTTTTATAATTTTTGGTTTTCGAAAACTGCTAAAACAGTATTAAAATGGACTAAAATTTATCACTAGGCCGATGTAGGCGAAACAAAAAACATGCCAACCGCCCCGCGCTAAAATAATCGCCCCCCGTTAACCTGGAAGCACCCAAAACTTTAGTGTGCCCACCACCGTCCGTTCCTTTGCTATGCCTACGAAGGTCTGAACCAGCCGTATCCGGAATGGCTACAACAATCTGACGCAAAGGTTTTTGGCATATATATTAGACGAATATGATTTAGTGTTCGCCTTGTACTATGGATACGCCGTGTGACAATACGAAAGCAGTTACTGGAAACGAGGACGATGCGAGAGCTCTTGTCGCTGCAAAATGTCGGCCCCAGTTTTGCGTAAGCATTTCAGTAAACATTTTATTAATGTCGGGTGAACAGGCACCGGTAAGAGGTCAGAACA